TCTGAAAAGCTGAAAGCCAACGGTGTCAGCATCGCGTCATCGCAGTCCCACGCAAAGCCGCGTACCGCGTACGCACGACAGAGACGAGTTTGTATTGCTGGACATAGCTTGAGTCAAAAAAGTAATTTTTGCATCTGCATGAATTGAGATCTGGAATAGCATGTGTTGCCTTCTACATTTTGACCATTCTGTCGACCTTAACCCGTGTTTGTTCATAAAAGATCTAAGTGCAGCCTATGCATTTACGGAGGTTTACGATTAAATGTTTGCCGTTGTGTTGAAAGAACTTACTATAACAAGCAGTAGGACGCCTTCCTGTCCATTCTACTTATACTCTTTCCATTTTTTGCTATAAGTCAAAGTACATGATTTCTTGAAATTGTTAATGATTGTGCATTATAATTTTAGGATAAAACCTGTTGCTGAATACAAGACAGTGAAATAAACTCTCACCACGCAAAATAAGAAACGCAAGCACATAAGTTGACAGCGCAACAGGGTGCCAGATAGGTGGCCGATGATTAACGGGCATCCTGGTGCGCTGGTACTGAGCATCACGACAAAAAACGTGCGCTTATGCGTTAGGCATCTCAGCGATACCTGGAGACAGTGCCATTTTGCGTTTTCAACACGTCTTTTCTGTTCCATGGACCGAAAATAGAAATGCAAACCGCAAAAGCCGCTTTAGCTCACTGCCTCACATTCAGACAAGATTCCATTTTAATGCGGCATATTTGTTAACTGTGCTGTAAGTCGGTCTGCCTACCATTCTGAAGTCGGGGCTTGATCTCCACACGAAAAAGGCATTAACGGGTCGTCCTGCCCCAATATTTGCCAATTTTCATTTAATAAAACGGAATCAGTCGCAATCAAATTAAACGATTTTCTTGGAAACATATGTCAGGGAGACTCGTTTAGGTAAGGCTTATCGCTGCGAGGTATAACGAAGTACTCTAGATGGAGGGAAAATCGAGGCGTCTATTCGTTCTAATTGATTGTAATCTGCCTTCACATTAATATCACAGCTCACCCTATTTAATCTCCTTCGCCCATGTTGCCGCTCAACTCTCCCCTTCCTGCTCGAGAAAGAAACGGTAGTTTACGTGTCCTGAAAGATGTAGTTCGAAATATTGCTTACTTATGGCATTACTAACTTCCCCGTGGTTGTGTAGAGAGAAAACGCAGCCTGCTGACAGTCAGTCTGCAACGGATGCTTACTAATTGTGGCCTCTATTGCAGAGTGAGATACGAGACGGTGCAGTGTGTGGTAAATTCGGCGCAATTCAACTAAAACAATGAAAAAAATCACGTGGGATTCACTATCCGTGTAAAAAATGCGACGGGTCTTTTATAAATCACTTCATATAAATGTAGTGTAGAGAGATAACAGTCGCGGACTTCAAGTTAATGGTATGGAAGTCAGTCAGCCAACATGAATTGTAACAAGGAGGTCGGCCTGGGATTTTCCTCATTGAGGCATTGTGGCCATTATTCCCATTATGAGCATAAGTGATGATTATACTAATCACGAAGAAAGCCATAGGTAGTAAAAAGGAGAAGACGAAAATATGCGAGGGTACAGTACATGATGTTTTATTGTGATTGTGTGTATTTTGATTAAAGTATCAAATGCATTATAACAGAGAAGAAAGTGCGACGAGAACACAGGACATAAGATAGAGGTTACAGTTGACCGGTAAAACATTGACACCGGCAGTCGTTTCACCGCCAGGGACTGTGGTCTGCTCACTAGGATCGGGAGTGCGTAGAAAAAAACGAGGAGTATTACTAACAACATACCGAAATTATCAAAGTAAGATTATCGGCTTTATCAAGGTGTGTAACATAACATCGACATTTCCAATTTGCAGCAAAATAAGCAAATGCAGGCTGCTTACCAGTTGCAGGCTTCTCCGTTTTCTCGAATGTCCTTGCATCATGTGTTGTCTTTTCCTCCGTTGTGGGATTGGGGTTCCCCGTTGTCTCGGATGTATCGGCAGCATGCGTTGTCTTTTCCTCCGTTGTGGGGTTGGGGTTCCCCGTTGTCTCGGATGTTCCGGCAGCATTTGTCGTCTTTTCTTCTGTTGTGGGGTTTGCCGTTGTCTCGGATGTTCCTGCAGCATGCGTTGTCTTTTCTTCTGTTGTGGGGTTACCTGTTGTCTCGGATGTCCCGGCAGAATGCGTTGTCTTTTCTTCTGTTGTGGGGTTACCTGTTGTCTCGGATGTTCCAGCAGCATGCGTTGTCTTTTCCTCTGTTGTGTGGTTGGCGTTCCCCATTTCCTTGGAAGTCACAACAGCATGAGTTGATTTGTCATCTAAAAAAACCCAAGGACCTATACGTTTTCTGCATGCCTTTTTTGTATGTTAGTTCATGGCAGTACCTAAATATCATTTAAACTTTAGCCCCTGATAGTTCAAATAAGATCAGTCAGTTTGGGAAGATCAAAATCTAAGAAACAAGGATTAGCTAGGGACCGGACTAGTATTACGTCCATGCATTTTATAATCGAATATATATTGGCAATAGAAGCGAATATATATATATATCAGCGATGAAATTAGGATAGACGGCTTCTCCGGGCCGTAGTTAATAATGCTTATAATGTTATTTTTTAATCTACATAACCGAAAGCATCATACTTACTGGTTGTAGGCTCCTCCGTTTTCTCGGATATTACGGCAGTAACAGCTGCTGGGAGGTCTGGACAATAGATAAACAAACAAAGAATTATGGTTTTTCTGTATGCCTTGTGTTGCACTGTTTTAACCGCATACGGAAATATCCTGTTTAATCTCTAAATGTTCAATAATTCTCTGCTGGTGATATAAAATGTTTAACTTTGAGGAGCGTTCTCTGTCCTTACGCTTTCTTTCATATCGAGTCTACTTTCATATTACCCTCAAAATCTGTACCTTCTTCTTATTTATATCTCACGGCAGCTGATAAAGATGTTATACTTGACCTTTCAATGTCGTTTCAGTTAACATGAAATCAGTCCACTTAATAACAGAGTACATGCTATCTTGTGGCATACGTGAATAAAAAAGGAGTTTTTTTTTGTTTAGGCCCAATAACTTAATAGTAGCCTTGTACAAGTTTCACAGTCTTTTGCACTGAATGTAGGTAAAGTAGATCGTTGTAGGTGATAGCTCTGCGACGTATACGTGCAAACGTATTGCATTCAAGAAATGTCTTAAACAAAACTTCCTTACAAAAGGGTGGTTTAATCTGTTGTAAAGCAATTGTTAGTGCGCTGAATATTATCAAAAGTATAGTGCACTACGTAAGCGCAAGAAAACGAGCGGAGTGCTTTGCTTACCTGTACAATAAACTAAGCAGGTTCCCAAGAG